ACCGCTGTTTGGCAGATTTCAAGAAATACTGTCATTAGATGGAAACTGTAAACAGCCAGAACCCCCTAATTTCACAAGATGTAACGCAGGCACACACAATGTAAGGAATGGCTGCCTCCTCCTGGAGACATCACAGATCTCAGAGGTAAAGTWAAAAAAAAGCAGGGATGGTGAGTCAACGCACAGCTCAGGATGTGAGACAGGCTGGAAGAGGCACTTTTTATTCTCACATTGTGATCCAGGGTTATCGTTGTTGATGAAACCTGGCAGCAAATGTCTCCTCCTCCTCTGAAAGTAAGGATTTTGTTTTTGTTTTTAACCTCACCTCAGTTTGCTTATAGCAGAGTTGATATAATCTCATCCCCACGTCACAATCTCTGTTTTTTATCACCCAAAGACGACGTGGTAAAATGTATTTGCCTGTTTGTACCGTTAGCAAAACAACACAACCACTAGATGGATTGAAACGAGATATATTAGGTTAAATACACTTTTATTGTGTAGCTGGAGTCTCTAGGAGTGCTGGAGATTTGAATTTAACTTCTCCCGGTGCTGCGTAAATATMACAGTAWTTRTGACTGAACTGCCAAATAAGGTCTGGACTTACCAACTACTGAAGGTGGTCTTCCTTCTCCTCTGGCTCYGACATGTAAGGCTGGATGGACAAGTCCTCCCTTGTTGACTTCTTTTAATTAATTTGTAAATAAAACATTTCTGCGCTGCTATATAGTCGTAAACCCCTCTATCAAACCAGAATGGACCGCTCTGGAAGCTGGAGGGGGCAAGGCGAAAGGCACCTTGTATGGATTTAAAGAGACAGCCTCAAAACGAGTTGATCTGAGACATGCTTTAGTAAAGGAGCGGGGCTTGTGGAGCTACAATAAGGAGGAATTCAGACCAAAGCATTGCAGCTCCACTTTATATAGACTCAACTGAATGATTTAAATATTTTAAAAAAAGAATTTAAAAGCTTTAAAAAATGTGTCTTTGGGGGGACATCAAGATGGCCGCCACARCTAAGTGACTGTAGGAGACGCAGTATTGGCTATAACTCGAGCTCATATTTGATGTGGTAGTAGCTGAGTCACACTCTGAACATTCACAGATCAAGAGAGTTTAGATTTTAAATGTTTGTCCTCAACTCTGTCTGTTCTTTAACAAAGTATCTCATGAACCGCTGGAAGGATTTTAATCAAACTTTCAGAGAACAAAGCCAACATTGCTGCCACAGTTACCTSACCTTATAAACTCAAAAATGGATACAGCCTGGCTTATTATACCTAAATAACATTTGGTGTGGTAGTAGCTGAGCATSCCCTGAGACATTACTCTGACAGACAGCATTCCTTTAAGGAAGTCTTTGATTGACGTCTATAGATTACAGAGTGTTGCTCGTGTATTTGCTCAGCCAGAATCCTCGAATTCTCCTGTTTTTTTTTTTAATTTAGCAGACAGTTTTTGTTTTCTCTCTCCAGCAAAGGCAGGTGTGTTTTTTTATTTTTAATTTCCTTTCTTTTTGATGTTTTCTTTTCTTTTTTTTTTTTTACGAGGACAACTGGATGTTCTGCCCTTCATTTCATGTGAAACCTGCTCATCAGGAAAGTGAGGATTAATGCTCTCCGGCTGTGTGTGGCTCTCGTGTGGATCAATAGATCCAGTCACTAACCATTTGAGAAGAGGAGCGCCATGCTGTTTGTTTTGGCAACAGGAGGGCAGTACAGACAAAATGCAAAATACATCAGAGAATAGCGTTAAGGTAAAGCTCACGCAGGCAGAGCGAGCCAACTCCAGTGGATGTATTATTGGCAGTACTTTAATTAAAGGTCTGGGTTTGTGTTTGTGTGTGTGTGTGTGTGTGCACACGCATTAGTTCAGAGTCTGTGTGTTCATGACTAGGAGCCACTTAGTTGCTTTTGGAGTGGTGGTCTAGTCTCTTCGGCCCCGGAGGGCTTGAWGAAGAGTATAGGTCACAGAGGCGGTCAGGACTGTCCGTACCACTGCCTCCTCAGAATCGATAAAAAGCGAGGGGCCCGGAGTCCTCGACGGCCGGCCTGTCAGCGCTCAAGGCAGCCCGACGCCGGGGGTGAGCTGGCCCGTGCACCGGCAAGGTCGGGCACGGTTCTGAAGAGGTCGAGGATTTACGCTGGGTAAACACGCCGTCCCTCTCCCCGAGAATACAAAACAGACGCGCCATGATAACTGTCAGTGAAATAAGCACGCTGACAAAACAGCAAGGCCGAGACTGGAGGACAAAGACGGGGGACAGAGGGAGAGACAAAAGGTGAGAGGAAGATAATAACGACAAAGACGGAGGGAGGCAGAGATGAGGAAAATCGGGGAGACCGGAAGATTAACGGGGAATTGGAAGAAAGGGGTTTCTGTGGCACGACCGGATTGCTAAAACCAGGGATCCATATGCTGCTTCTGTCTGATCGCCTCTGAAATGATCTGCTCTGTCTTATCTAAGCTCAGGCACAGGTGCAAAATGAAGATTTGCACCTGAATAAAAGCCCTAAATGTTACAGCGTATGGCTCGGGTGAATGGCTAAATCATTAGAAAAGTGCTTTGGCAGTGACTGTAATATCAGCGGAGGTAATTATCGTTCCCTCAAACATATGGGCTCACTCTTTTTTGTTCAAAAACACCAGAAGCTCTCCACTCATTCTGCTATCTGCTTCTCAACACAAGACGTGTTTCCACTGCTGATTAATGCCTGAAGAAATTACAGCTTAATAGAAATTATGTTTTTCAGGTTTTATTAGGAATCCACCACTTGACTCGATTCAGGCGAGAGTACACAAATTACAGAACCGATGTACAAAAAGCGACTGTAATCCCTCAACTTTCACCGACTTCATACGAAAAGTTGAGCTGTGAGGAAATAAATAATGAGTTTCCTGTGTGCACATGGTTCAGGACACCAAGTTCAATTTAAGACTTTTTTACTGGTTTATAGAGGAGTCCTCGGCCGTGCTGGCGGTGAGAAGCGGTGCCAGTAGAGGTGACGACCCGTTCGGTTGGGTTTAAGTAAGCTGATGAGTACAAGTGATGCACCGTCAGGATTTACTGTGGGAGAATTTGGGTCAGAACCCTCCTGGACTTTGTTGGTGACTCTTGACTCCAGCGTGGAGCAGAATTGGAAAGCAAAGGCCGCACAGAAAAGACGTTGCAGAAGGTGAACAAACAGATTGAAGTCCAGGTCAAAGGATCCTCGGAGTCCTGGATTACATTCTGAAAGTGGGGAAAGAAGTTTTTAGCAGAAGTTCTATTCGAGTTAGGGGAAAAAAAGGTAGCAGCATCTTCTCACTGCAGATAGAGATGGCATTACCCATCAACCAATTATGCACCAATTTACTCGTCAAATGAACATGCGTCTGTGGAAATTAAATCTTGTTCTAATGATGCGATGATGAGCCCACTCACCTTCAAGTCGATAAAATGTCCAAAAATTAAAATGTTCCTTGAAGAACATGCAGTAACACATTTATTGTTCAGTGCTCGTCAGAAACAGCACTTTATAACAACTAACTGAGGAAGAAGAGGACACTATTTTTTGTAAAAGCAGAAGTGAAGCTGATTATTTAGGGAAAAAAATGTTAATTTGTTCATTTCTTTGTCTGCATGTTTGTTTACACAGACTTGGCAGCTGAGACGTTACAGTCAATACCTGTCAGATGCCAAAAACTGATTGACTTTACTGAGATCTTTTTTTTTAATCCATGGATTTGTCAGCACGTATCTTTACACATATTTTGTGCTATTTCAAAAATTTATCAAAACATTCAGCTCCTTCAGGACATTCCAGCTGGGACTTTTGATATTTCAGCAATTTGTACTTTTTTGCATTTTTTTCCTCAATGAAAATTAGTTGAGTTCCTTAAAACCCTTTGAAATGTTCATTAATCTTTACAGTTTTTTTTCTCAGTTTGTTCTGGTTCTGCTTTTTTAAATGTCTGTTTAAATTTTAGATTCCATCATATTGTATTTTGTTGATTTTTGCTTTTTTCTACCTTTTTTAAGCTGTCATTCTAACCTTTCTGTTATAATACAGCTAGTGTAAATTTTTTGTGCTTCTTTCAGCTGTTTTCTGTGTTTTTAGCTACTTTTAAGTTAATTGAAGTATTTTTCAGCTAAATTCACCTTTTTGCTATTTCTTTTTTTGTGCCAATTTCAGCTATTTCAGCTACTTTTAAGCTATTTTTAGGGTATCTTCAGCTTTTTTATTTTAGAAATTTTAAAGTAGGTTTTTGTACTTCTTGTTTTTGGTTAATTTGAACATTTTCACTGTCGTTTCCTGCAACTTGTTTCTGCTACTTTTAGCTTCTTTTTGCTCAGTTTAGCTACTTTTATGCTCTTCAATTTTTTTTAACCCATTTTTGTTGTCTTTCTACTGATGTCTCATGTTTGTTGTCCTGCTTTCAGCAAAGATCAGCTGTTCAAATTTAACTTAACAGTTGTGCTATCAAACCTTTTTTAGCTTGATTTCAGCAACTTTTAGCAAAAATMTTTCAGCGTTARGCCTTCATGCTGCAATGCTTTTTCTCTAGTTATTCTTAAAATCATCCTAACAGGTGACGTAAATATGTCATTTAGTAGAACTATTCACCCTCTGTTCTTCTGTTTAGCCAATACGGTCGTATATTTTTATTTTGAATTATTGTGCACACTACTCATGAGAGTCACAGTTTCATATTTCCATTGTTGATAAAAAAAAATGTTCTTTTTTTATCAATAAAATTTAGTGTAAAAACACAAATCAAACTTTGTGTTTTCTGCTCTTTAGGCACAAATTCTGCCTGGACTTTTATTAGCAGCTGATATTGACATTTTGTGGTTTTGTGACTCCTCAGAGTAAAAGTACACATTCCTGGCTGGAATGAAGAATTGTTGGTGTTTTAAATAAGAGTTTTTATTTTATTTAGTAAATGTTACATTAAGGCTGACACACAGCAGACAAGAGTTTTGACAAGTCTTTTTCTCGTGTCTCTTCACCTGACAGGTGAGGTGCTTCGTCTGGGGAGGATCTCAGGCCACACGGTGAACGGTGGCTGGTCAGCCTGGAGCTCCTGGTCTCAGTGCAGCAGAGACTGTAGTCGAGGGATCCGGAGCAGGAAGAGGACCTGCAGTAACCCCGAGCCCCGYTACGGAGGTCAGACCTGCCTGGGCCCAGCACAGGAGTACCAGGAGTGTAACATCACCCCGTGTCCAGGTGAGAAAACTATACACATCCTGCTGTTTCTGCTTTAGTGGCCAGGACTCCCACAGATAGCAAAAAACAACCTCACAACTCTGGAACAATGAGCAGAAGACACACAGAGATAAGAACAGTTACAAGAGCAGGAGTCAATACCACAGCAAGCTCTGGTAAATACACACTTCTTCACACCATATTTAAGCCTCATGTTCCTTTTCTTCTTGATTACAAGATAAAGGATTTCAGAGACAAATGACCCACCAACTCATTTGAACCCGCAAAAAGAAATCAGTTGCAGATAAGAGGTGTGACGAAGACCCCAATTTAGACCAAGAATCAAAGAGACGATCCCTGCGGCGCTTTAGTGTGTAATTACTATTGCTGTGTAATTATGTTGCCAGCTACGGGAGGCCTTATTCTGTTGTGAAAAGCCCCGAGACAATGTATTTTCAACACTTGTCTGGCAGAGGAAGCTTTCTAATTAAAAGAATACTCTGTCTGACAAGAGAGGTAAGCTGTCTAAATGGAAATCCAGCTCTTAGTTTGGAGGAAAGCCCACCTGGTATTCGTCACGGGCGACAAACGGGCGCGCATCTCAGATGATTAGTAATCAAGCCCCCCCTGGAGAAAGGCTTTCACTGAAAGCCTGGATCTGTGCACCGTCACCAACACCCACGATCCATCCAACTTCTTCCAAACAAAATAAATAAAATGGTAAAYGACCATCATCTCTCTGTTTTTGGGTTCCTTCAGTAAAACGCTCAGCGCTCGGCTCCACAGCAGCAGCGTGAAGATCGCTGTTAAGTAATGCTGTCAAATCTGCTTCATTCAGACACATTAAAAGGCTTCTGTTGAGTAAAGTGACACGTAGATATTGTTTTTTGTGTTACCAGTAGTGCACCTGCAATAACAGTGTGTTGATGATAAACTCCACTCTTCTGCTCCCCAAAGGAACCAACTTAACCCAGCCCGAGAAGCAATGAATACTAATGCTTGCTCAATTAGCACCCCTCTGAAAGTGAGATATTATTTTGAGGCTGGAATCCTCCTGTGGCTAATCCAGAGCTTTTTTCCCCCCACATGTTAGTTTGCTGTGAAGGAGCAGGAGAGAAAAGGGTGTTATGCCTTCCGTCCGTGTGCTCTGGAAACAAATGAATTTGTGTTTTTATTGCGTCTGCACCTCCGATGGGGCGATCCTTCATCGAGAGCCGGGAATCGACTCTCGTGTCACTCTGTGATAGAGAAATTACACAGAGATGACAAAAAGCTTCAGCAACTTCAATTACCTGTTTAGTGCCGCCAGCCATCTTTGGGTCTTTAAAAGGAACAGGAGACGGGGATTTCTCGCTGCCACGATGAAGTGAGGCTTTAAACAGATAATTGGAGAAAAGATATTTRCCTCTGCTGTGGTTCAAGTTGAAGCTTTAACCAATTTTGTGCTCTCTTTTTTTACTCCTCTGCTTCATCTGCCTTTTTTTTTATACAAGGCGTGTGTCTGAGTGTGGCTAGTGTCATAAATATACAAGTTTTTTAAAGATCTCTTGTTGGTACTTGGGGCCACAYAAAGGGACAAATACGAATGCATGTCTGGATGCTTCATTTATCTTTATTATTCCTTGATGTGGTTGTTTCAGTTAGAATGTGTAAAGGAAAGGACTATTTACAGTATTTGACAATATGGATCTACACCAGGGCTGTTCAACTAAACTGCTCAGGAGGCCACAGTTACACAACACAGAACACCTATTACCTTTTACATAATTTTTTTATTTTGCTGCATTGAATTCTAAATTTTTAATCTGGATTAAAATCTATTAGGTTCATCATTAAGTTTTTTTTTCTTCAAATTTTTAAAGTTTCAAATTTTAAAACTTTATTATTACTGATTTTATTTTATTTTTATTTCATATTTTCAGTTTTTTTCAACTATTTTATTTATTTATTTCAAATGATCAATTTTTCAAAATAAATATAAACTATTTATTTATTTATTTCAATTTTTCACATTTTCAAAATAAAATGTAACTGTTAATTTATTTATTTACGTATTCGTTCATTCATGCGTTCTATCATTTTTGTGGGCGGGGCTTTGGTGGGTGGGGCTGGATGGCTTCTGGCCCTGATCAACACTTTTGCAACTTAGCTGCTCTAACTGAATATTTGGTTGCTGAAGTTCATCTCTGAGGTGTGTTAGTTGAACAAACACTAAGAGGTAACAATCTTTTTGCAAACTAGTGCCATTTTTGTCCAACTAGTTGGAGCAGAGTTCGTAATAATCAGTCAAAACGAAATGTGAACAAGCTTCTAACGGACTGGTGGACCAAAAAAATGTGTTTTACTAGTTCGCCACTGAAAGTCACCACAAATTTATGGTACTAGTATTCACATTTTGGCAGTTTTTCATGTTCAGAATCCTGAACATTTTTGAGAACTTTTAGTTTAAAGAAAAAGAAATGTAGATTCACTTTATCATTTTGTCGTTGGATGAGAATTGTTCAGCATCTCAGAGGGCTACAAAGTAATTAAACAAAATCTTGAGCTTAGAATCTAACACGCCTAAAAAACTAACATTTTTTTTGCTCCACGGTGAAACTATAAAACATTTATTATTCAAAGATAATAGGAACTAAATGAACAATTGTTAAAATGCTGTGTACTGTGTCAAAACGTTCTGTGGTAATAAATGTCCGTTGCATCATGTTTGAGCCAGCAATTGCAGGACTTTTTGGTCTCAGAGTTGGAATGACTGTGATCATGTTTTCTTGTGGATTCAAGGTGTGAAACTTGAAGCACGATTTCTAATTTTCAACCACTTTTTGTGGCACAAATTTTTCACAATAAAAGCTTGAACAGACTTCACATCTTGCTTAGCCTTTTTCATGTTAAATGGAAATTTTTTACATTGTTTCACTCTTCTTTCATTATGCATTTATTGTCCAATTGAAATCTCATCTAGTTTCAAAGCATTAACAGTTTGGCTCTGATCTCACTGGTTTTAGTGGATGGCAGCTGGTCGTGCTGGTCTTCATGGTCCAAGTGCTCTGTGACGTGTGGAGGGGGACACTACATGAGGACGCGGACCTGCAGCAACCCTCCACCAGCTTACGGAGGAGACATCTGCCTGGGTCTGCACACCGAGGAGGCCCTGTGCAACACGCAGACGTGTCCAGGTACAAACCAAACAGCTGAGAGCTTCTAATCCATCACGTGTTCAGTGGAAGGTTCTTTGTTTTTGGGGGGGGGGGGGGGTCTCAGCTACACAAAGGGCGTTCATGCGTCACTAATGTACACAAAGTCACTCGGTGCAGTGCCGACACAGACCCGACAAACTGTGAGATGTGCTGTCGATGCTGTTTCCAGAGAGCTGGTCCAGCTGGTCTGAGTGGTCCCACTGTGACTCCAGCGGGCACCAGCTGCGCGTGCGTCACTGCGACGTGCTTTTCCCCACTGGAAACCAGTGTTCAGGAAACAGCAGCGAGATGAGGGCCTGCTCCCCGGACTCCAACTTTATACCAGGTATACACACACACACACACACACACACACACACACACACACACACAGTTATTATTCAGTCTGCAAGCAAATGCATGACTTTACGCACAGGTATGACCACCTGGACATGTGTTACACCATGCACATTGTTTTTATTATTATTATTATTATTCAAAATTTTCTTTTTTGGTTTTAGATTTTGGTTGTTTTTTTGGTTTTTCGTATCTGGCCTCTGTGTTTCTATGACAATTTTAATTTTCAACTTGGCATGAGTGGATGTGCTTCTTGTTAATTGTTTTTTTAAAGAAGGTGCACTAATGTTTTGGAAATAAATTCAGATCATATAACTACCGTCCAAGATTCTAAAACTAGAAAAAAAAAGTTCACAAAGAGAAAAAACTCAGAGAGGCCACCGAGCACCAAATATGACACTTTTGTCTCGGTTTGTAGTGCAGAAGGACACAAATACTGGCAGAGAAACAGTTTGTAGATTCAGATTAATTTTAACTGCTTTAACAGGAAACTTCATATAAACACTGACTTATAACGCAGATGGAAGATCTGACAATGAAAACAAACAAAAAAGAGAAAATCACAAAATGAACAACAATAGTTGATCAGTAACCCTGACCAGGTCACAGGGAAGCAAAACCCATTAAACAAAATAAACCAGGAAATTCATTTGCAGAAATAGCTAACAGTGTCAGATTAATCCAAACAAAGTCAAACAGAAAAACAATGAAGCTGCTAAATAAATCTACCCCAGACAGGAGGAAGTCACAGAAAACAGAAAAGGTAAAAAGTGCCACATTTCAACACCAGTGCTGCTTTATATAATCACACAAAAGACATACAGCTCTGTGGCTAAAATTCTGTTTCGTCCCACTTAGACACATTATTAGTAGGCAAAGGTACTTTCCTAAAACATTCTAATGTATTCAGTGTTATTAGGGCTTTTAATGATTTTGCTTTCAGTTTCTTTTTGGTTCAATTTAGATTAATATTGCCAAAATTAACCACTTACTGAACGCAATCAAACTAATTAGCTCTGTAGCTGCCATGCTTGGATTCACTTCTGAACTGTAGCTGGTGGAGTCCATGAAAACAAAAAAATATTCTGAAACGTGTCGTAGTATTTGTTAAAATAAAAGAATATGAATAAATACACATGTATAGATCAAAACTCACTGTTATAAGATTATGATCAAACAAAGACGATATTTAATTGTTAATTATGGTTAAAAGTTTATGTCTCTAAAGTTTCAGATGTTTTCTCCAAATTCCTGATTTCCTTATAAACCTGTCAGTTTTATTTTATTTTATTTAACTCGATTTTTACCCATTTGTTCAATAACAAAAAAAAAGCATTTCAGGTTTCTTTTCAAAATCAGTTCCTGTGTATTTGTGCTAAATGGGTAATCAAGGGGGAATATTTCCTGCCTCAGATACAGGCTTGTATCAAGGTGTTCACACTGAGGCTTTTTTTGAAATTTGCATCTCGGTTTTGTTAGAAGAAATCCCTGAAATCCCTCTGCCTCCGCTACAATCACAATCAACAAGGACTCCCAACCGGCAGCTGACAGCAAACCTGCTGTTTGCTAAACTATCGCCTTTTATTTGCCTCATGAATGGCAAGCTTTCAATTTGCACATGAATATTTTTACAGGACTCTTGCTTTTGATATTAGCAAGTGCCGATGGTTCGAAATGGTCATAACCTCCAGAAATAAACAAGTCTTGCATGAAATAAAGACAAGGSGAATTAGTCAAATCTGCTGGTTTTGAAAAGCTGAAAGTGGAGAAAATGTTGCTATATTTACTCCTCCCCCCTCCCCTCTCTCCTCACACCATTAGCATTGATGTCTGCAGGCATCTTCTTATTGACAATTAGTAATGTGAGACACAGAAAGGAATTGATCTCGGCGTCTCTGCTAAACAAAAGATCATTAAATCTCCTCCCTTTGACAAAGGACGTTCGTGTTTCACATTCTATTACCAAAAACACCATAAATAATAAAGAAAGGTTGCATAGTTTTACTGAAAGGCTGGGATTCATATAAATTTCAGACGTGGTAATTAATAATCTGACAGAATAAACATTTGATTAAAGCACATGTTTGTGACTTTTCTGTAGGATATAATACTCGTAAAAAATGTTCGGAGATCGGTACAAAATCGCCCGTTTGCCTTTTTATTTTCCCATCCATCCACTTTTATGGGAAAGGCAGTCCATTTAGGTTCATTAGCAACATCTTGTACTTCATTTCCTTTTAATGGGACCTGATACTTTTCATAAACCACTCCAGGTGCCCCAGCTTTGATTAGCTCGCAGAGTTATTTAACGATTATCTGTTTCGTATAGAGAAGCAGCTTTCATCTTCACCTTCAGGAGAACAGTTTGTCATGAGAACAGCCAGGGTTGTGTGGGGAAGGTTTTTTTTTTTTCAGCTCTAACACCGCTGGGGGTTTTTGTGTGTGTTTCTTCCTCTCTGTTAGAAGTCTCGATTGCACGCTCCAGTCAGGAGGAGAGGCGCTGTGGAGGTAATTTATGTCTGTGTGTGTGTGTGTGTGAGTGTGTGAGAAAAAAAGAGAGGGCAAATAACACCTGGCATAACACACTTTCCAGGTAACAAGGTAGTTTTTCAACCCTGCACAGCAGCATATGATTTCAGACAGAAACGCACTAAATTCAACTTGTATGTGAGAAATCACACCTTTAATCATCACTGCTTTAACAACATGCCATCTTATTTTTATTGTGACTAAACTTATATCAGGGTTAATTTATTTATTAGCTAGTTACTTAATTAAAAGCATGACAAATAGTTTAAAACCTTTTTAATTTCTACCTGCCTACATTATCTTTAATTAATCATCTGTAAAAGAAAATAATTAGGTGATAAGTAGATAAATGGTTATTAATGATCCAAATAAAAAACTGTAAATGTGTGATGCTGTGTATTTGTTTAATACTTAACATCCTTTTAATTTAACTTTAATCCTTTCTACATTATTTATTCATCTGAGCTAGTTTGATATCCATCACATCTTATATCAAATAAGTGTTTATAGGACTAGTCTGAATCTTTTAAAATGGAGCTCTATGAAAGGGTTATGAGCGATGAATATCTTACCCGCTGTAGATGACTTGTTGAAAAATAGTAACGTTTATTTTTGGCTGATGTAAAGTTTTATATAACATCATTCAGTACATATATATAGAGAGATGTATGAAGACAAATATATATAAAACATTCTGCATCTTATTTTGAAATATTTGTTATTTACTTGCCCTTTGTTTTACTGCCTCTTGTTTTGTGCTTGTGTGCAGTTGTAACATAAGTAGTTTCCCTATTAGAGGAATAAAGTTTTCTGATTTTCAGATGAAATTTCTTTGAGATTTTGCTTATTTTAAGACACCTGCTTTGTTCTTGACCACGTAAGTTTGGTCCAGCTGTTTGCTCATTGATCTGGGCAGAATTCAATTAAATTTTTTTCAAACTGAGGTCATTTTAAAAGCTATCTACAGCAGATAAGACATTAATAGTTCATATCCTTTTTCACAGAACCCCAGGCTATCACCCTTTTCAAAACAGGAAATTATGAAAAGAATTGTGCTTAGAGCTACAGAARCTAATTTCTCCTGAGTTCAGTCGGCAATTAACCTTATTACGCTCGTTAAGAACATGTTTACTGAGCTCACAAATCTTGAACTCATTCAAACATTTTCCCCTAGTCTTACTTTTGTGACCATATCAGTTTCTACCTATTCGTTTAAGTCTCAAACCCATTGTTTTAATGTTTTAGGTTACATTCATCTTTTATATGGAGTTATACTGGAGATAGTTTTTAGCACACAGCTGGTGCAGGAGTTCTGCTGAAGACTTGTTACAACCAGCAACTATTGTTGATCTTAAAGAAACATGAATTGCATTAAAGGAGTTTGAGACTTTCATCATTATCGTGTCATGGTTTCACTCATTCTTATTAGGTTAAACAAACCTGAGTACCTGATATATATAAAAAATGAACATGAACTCATCTCAAGTCATCAGCTTTTCTATTATGAACACTTACTCAGAAAGAGGAAATGAAGTTAATATATATTCTCGCAACGCTGACGGTTTTTCTTTTTTGATTGTAGAGTACTCTATTGTTACACGAATGACCCTTTCAATTAACTCGMTGTAGGAATTATTGCCGAAATGCATTCAGTCTTTTGTTCCCGCTTTTCTCCTTTCCTTTTCAGACTTTAACCTTTTCCACATGATAGCCGTGGGCCTCAGCAGCTCCATCCTCGGCTGCCTGGTCACACTGCTCGTCTATTCCTACTGCCAGCGCTACCAGCAGCAGTCCCACGACGCCACCGTCATCCACCCCATCTCCGCCGCGCCGCTCAACACCAGCATCACCAACCACATCAACAAACTGGACAAATACGACTCCGTGGAGGCCATCAAGGTGCGATTTGCTCGGGGGCGGGTTTAACGCAGGTCACAGTTGACGGATGTTCAGATGTGCYGAGGCTCAGCATCAGTTCGCAGCATTTTCTTACTGTATGACTTAATCAATTAATGTCACCCTCCCTCTCTGAGGGAGTGAGCAGCGGTTCGCCTCTTTCCTCAGTGTCATCTGTGATTAAATACGCTTCTTACTGCATGACTGTCACTGTCACACCACCTCCTGTGTCGCACTGACACGCTCTAGTTGTGTAACAGGTGGGCAGGCGTGCGCTCAGCCTTTCTCCGTGTGCTCCTCTGACATGTTTTGCATAAGTCTGTGTGTGAGCACTTAATTTGCACAGTTTCCTCCTAACATTTCAGTACTAGMTATAGATTGTGGTCATCAAGTGATGAGGTCACTTGTTTGCATGTTTCTCTCTTTTTACCTGCTTTTTGGTTTGTAATTGCGTCCTTAAAGTGCCCGTGACATCAAATTTCTKTAATAAATATGAATGCATWTTTGGAAATATAACATTAATAGCATTTGGGGGAAAAAATCACACCACCGAGAAGAACAGTTGTTGAGATATTTGCATGTGAAGTAACRGGAAGTGATGTCAAATGGGAATGTCTGCATGTAAACAGAGCATTAATGGATAACAACCCAGACTGCAGAGAAGAACCTGATGTTTCTTTAGATTATTTTGAGTCAGATGGAGAAGAGTCAGAGTTCAAATGATGTTTCAATAAACAAAGACCAGGAAGTCCCTTTTCAGAAAGAGTTCCCCTTTGATGTCACTTCCTGTTTCACTCTGGCTGAGCCAAGTTCAAAAGAAAATCCGCCAGTTATGTGACAACATGGGTAAAATCATGTGCATTATGCAAAGTTTCTCAAATATAAAGATGTTTTCTTTGACTTTTTTTGCATGTCACTGGCAGGCGTTGCAGCACCTCCTGGTGGAGGACGTTTTGATCAGTAATGGGCTCGACACACGGGCAGCGACAAACTACAGCGATTAACGGCTGTCATCGCAGCCAGGGTGAAACCCGTCACACGGGACGCGATAGCGACGGCAGCGTTGCGAATCGCGCTCTCAGGTCGCTTGTCTTCACAAAATTTGATTGGTTCTTGACTCTGAAGGBGGGTGTGCATTACGGACGTGTAAACTAAACAAATCTTGCGATGCTAATGATATTGAAAAACAAACACACATCAAGATACAGTTTTATGAGGAAAAACTTACCATAAACTTCACCCTGGTGCCAATAAATTCCCACAAAGCTTTATAGTAATCACTTGGTGAAAGTGTTAGCTAACTGCAGTGTGTAGCATACTCTCCTCTCATTGGTCAGTCAATGAAACCCTCGCTGATTGGTTGTACGCTAAGCGACAGCGACAGCGACAAAAGTTCAACATTTTTCAACTTTCATATGTCGCGTCGCAAGCTCGAGTGTGCACGTCTACGTGTACGAGCGCGAAATTTCACATGCACTATTTTCACCGGTCGCTTAGCTGGAGGAGGGCAAGCGACTGTCGCCTCACCGCACAGGCTCCATAGGAAATGAATGGAGAGCGAGCGACGTCGCCTCCTGTGTGTCGAGCCCTTAAGTCTGTGAATCACTGTATTCCAAGAAAAAGCCTAAATTGCTTAGGCTTGTATCGCTCCTTTTTTAAGACCTCACTCCTGACTACCACAAAAGCACAGGATGTAAAATGACAGGTTGTTATTGGTCTCCTGACTCTAAGACRTTTTGATAAAAGCTTCACTAATTTAGTGAGAAAAAAACTAAAGAAAAGCTTTACTTTATTCTTGCTGACAAATTACCACTTTAACACACATCAAGCTGTTTCCTCTCGGTGCTGGCATGCAGTTCACAATTTTAGCTGTGACAGAATTTGTCAAGATCTTTTGGAATAATCTGTCGTGAACATCAGACTTCGCTCTTTTAAGTAAGACAGACATATTCGGTTTCATTTTACCTTGCTTTGCAGCTTTTTTATGTGATGAGATGGATTTTTTTTACCTAACAACACAGGAGGTTCAAAAACAAAGAGCAATGTTCTTTTAAAGACCTTTTAAGATACAGAGTATGTTGCTATAAATGTGCTAATAAGACAAAATAACATTGTTGCTCACCAGTCCTTCCACAATAGTGTTACCCACAATAATTACCAGCAGTATTGTATGCAGAATGTGTCAACAAGGGACATTATGGCACAGGAAGCTTTTTATTTTCTGTTATTAGGCCATTTTGCAGTTTAAGAACTATTAATCATGTTTAATGAGCTCTGGCTGCATGAAGGTCAACAGTCCATGTAGAATCCAAATGAGGTTACTCAGTAACCTATGACTGACAAAATTCAAGCTTTTAACCAGTCTTTCTTTACTTGTCTACGACTGAGCAGTTCAAAGAGTTTAAGCGGAACACATCCGGACATTATTTACCGCTTCGTTTGGGATGTTTTACCTTTTTGTTCACACTTAACCCAGTTTTAGCAGACTGGTGGAGTCAGACCCAGGCTGAGCTGCAACAGCTCAAAGTCTGTCATTTAAAGTCTAAAATGAGAGGTGGCGTGAGGTAAAGATGATTCACAACGTCAAAAGGTCCACTTTGGTGAGTTTAGTTGTAGTTCTAAGGTTCTGAACTGGGCAGCACGGTGGGGCAGTGGTTAGAGCTGTCTCAGGTTTGAATCCTGGCCTTCCTGTTTGGAGTTTACATGTTCTCCCTAATTTTTGACTCTTTTAAATATGGTCAAAGCTAATAATTCTGATGGTTATATATGGTTATGGTGGGTGGGGATGGATAAAGAACCTGTATGAGTGGGTGCCCTGTAAATGGGCCCATTGCTCTCTACAAAAAGACCCTGGTCTTTATTCAAACCTCAAAGCAGATTGTGCCCAGTTAGGACTCCAATCAGTGTACTTAGAGTTTTCTTTGTCAGGCTGATTAGAGCTTTCCCAAACCTTAGATTTGGGCCGTTAATCAGTTCCCGTGCCTGTCTACAGTCCATCAGCTCCCTCCAGCAGATTGTGTTGACGTCTAATCCAGGCCTGTAGGGCAGTCCTACAGACTGTTGTTGATGTACCTACAACAGGCTCTGGTCCTTTGAAGTGGGCCTGACTGCTAACTGTTGCAAGGTAGTCAGCTCTCTCATTACCAWAAATGCCAGTATGTCCTGGTACCCGTTGAACAGTAACACTGTTAAMTCTCTCCAGTTGGTTGACTGCTTCAGCACACTCCCAAGCCAGTAATGATGTTAAGTGTGGCCCTTGGAGAGCTTTAATAGCAGCTTGGCTATCTATTAGGATGAATATTTCCTTCTGTGTGCATTGAAAGTCTTTTAGAGATGCCACACACTGGTGGATTGCATATATCTCAGCTTGAGAAACAGTTGGAAAACTACCTAGTGGGTATTTGTGATCTCTTTCACAATGGTTGTGCAAAATCAGCACCCCTGCACCTACTGACCCCTTCAGAAGGGATCCATCTGTACTAATTATGATAAAAAAAATCCGCTGAAATCAAATGTAATACCACTTACAGCCACTAGGAGCTAGGTTTAAAACTCCCTTACTTCCAGGTGACTCAGTGTGGTTTCTCGCAGGCAGTGTGTCAGTCTTTTATCAGTTTGCTGCTTATTTTATTTTCATTATTAAATTAATACATTAAGCCGGCTTATCATATTGGTCTAAAATAAGATTCTGAGGGTAACTTCCTGTCCCCTCTCATTTGCCCAAATATGGTCGTGTAACTAATCTGCCAGGTGTGCCTCAGCCTACACATGTGCACTCTGAGGCAGTGGCTGCTGTCAAAGGCTACCTGTTGTACTGTTTGTCTAAATATCTTGAWCTTTGTTTGCGAAACTACTTCGCAGATATGAAAATGTTTTGCGGAGCCGTCACATTCTGAGCAGATCCTTTTGGCTCGGAGCAACACTCCCTCGAATGTAATTTTCGTTGAGGGGAGAGGAGGGTTCATCTGTCACGCAATTAGAGTCAGGAGCATCAAGCTTAATTCAGTTAATGTGGTTTCAGATCGAGGCAGATATAATACAGACAGTTGGTGTGGAAATACAAAAGGAGGTGCGAGATGAATGAGTCATGCTCGGTTCACTTTATTCTGCAGTGAATTTTCAACTCATTAGGGTTTGCGGAACCATAAGATAACGCTTTTAATGTTCATAGGCAAGAAAGATGAACACTTAATGTTTTGTTTTTAAGTGTTTAGTTCAGGTTACATTAGTCTTTATTGTTATGCACTCCTTTATTCAGGAACATTTCCAGCTGTTCAGTTGATTTGATTTGATTTTGATTTATTTATTTAACAGGAAAAGATTATTAGAAATCAAGCCTGACTCAGCATAATTGCTGTTTTACAGCAGGTTCCTGTT